TCTCACTCCTCCCATACCACCTCTGGTCCTACTCCTCGTGGCAACCCCCCCGAAGGCGCCACCTTCACCCCATCTCTGGTCCCGCTCTGACAAAGCCTCTGTCGCCCCGGACCCCAGGCTGCTCTGTGAGGGTGACTGGCAGTGGCTCTCCCAGGCCTAAGTCCCCACACCTGGACGTCCGACAGGAACCTCCAGCCGGCCCAGCTCAACACCCCACCTGCTCCTGTGGCTGCCTCTCCCGCCTCATGATGCGCTGCAGGCTTCGTGCAGGGCTTTGGGTCACAGACACCCACGTCCAGTCAGTCGGCAAACCCTACTGAGTCCACCTTCACAGCCGACACAAATCTGACCGCGCCCAGGAGTATGACCGAAGCCCCCGCTGTCCCCGACCCCGTCTCTAGTCCGAACGTGATGGCCGGAGAGATCTTGCTAAGTGCAGTCAGACCCAACAGGCTGGCCTTCCAGTGGCCCCACGTCGCCCAGGATAAAGGCCAACGAACTCAGCACAACCTCCAGGGCCCGACGTGACCCGGTCCCCGGCTCCTCTCCCACCCGCTTCTGACCCCTCGCTCCCCTCCCCACAAGACCCCGCCCCCCTCATGTCTTCTCCGTGGGCTCAGCTGTACGAAGCACACCTCACTGACTTCTCGGTCTGGCTTCCTCCATCCCCCACTAGAACGTAAGCCCCGAAGGGCAGGGCGCTCTCCCCTGAAGACCCGCGGCGGGACCAGGGCCGCACAGGCAGGGCAGATGAGGCCCCCTAACAGATCACTACTGGACGTATGGGGGAGGCAGGTCCTACTGGCGACCCCAATGCGCAGGGGCCTCGTCGACTCCCGCCAGCCACTTGCTAATTATACTGGTGCCGTATTGCCTTACTGCTGGCTTTACTGTTATTTCATGTGATGAAATGTGATATGTGGCTTTTAAAACATGTCAGTCTTGACTCTTTAGCTATACTATGAGGTTTCCAAGGAGAAAAACCACGCACTGCACTCATTTTGAGATTACTGCCCCAAGGTAATCTGCAGAATCACTTCCATTCACTCAACTAAAAGTTTGTCCAGTGCCTGTCTTGGGTCCGGCACGGAGTTCTGCTCCATGCTGTGCAGGTGCTCTCCAAAAAGTCCTGATCGTCTGATACTCAGTGTTTACAGATTTCTGCGGCCGGAGTATTCCCACCGTGGCCCGGTGGGACTTCAAGCTGCCAGTGTGAAGCCCCACCCATGGCATTGTGAAGACACAAGCACAGTCGGCCCAGCACTCTACAGTTTGCATGAAATGGGCACCCAACAAAGGTTGAGGAAGTAACAAAAGAGAAATCATCTTATAGTTCAACTCCCTTTGTACTGTAGGGTCCAGGAAGGCAGACCAAGACATTTGGAGGACAGAAAAAATGTACCTTCTCCAAATCTAGCAGAGGAAAAGGAAAAGGGAAAAAGAAATGAACTCTTTCACTTCCATTTAAACTAATAAGGGTTTGGTCCTAAGAGTGGAGCTCACAAGTCTGGAGAATTAGATTGCACACGCATATCTGCATATATCATGAGAGATATTTTTATAGCAAGAGAGATGCAAGAAGCATATTCCTCTGTGGGAATCTATTCCTCAAGCCATATGTGCATCCTTATATTTTCTGATTCAGGACTGCTTTGCTAGAGAGTAAGTTTTTCAGAGGCAAACCCTAGACAAGTGTCTAAAGCAGCACAATGAATAAAGTGCACAGTACATACCGGGTGGCATCCTGCAATGTTCTGGGAACACTTCCAGGGCACTCTTCAATCTTTCAGTATCTTGCAAAAGTAACAGCGTTTTCATGTGATCCAGAATGAACACATCTGAGGAGGGCATGCTGTGAGTTTCAAGATATTTAAATAGCTCTCCACTGGTCTCCATGAAGACAGCCGAGTCCGAATCCTTGGAGACACCTAAACAAAGGCAGGGTCACTTAGAAATGCATTTTTACTCTTACAAACTGAAGATAAGCTCTCACCTCCTAAAGAAAGCCTCAAACGTATATTTCTATTTAGAACGATGTGTTTGAGAGACAATCAGAACAGAACTTTGAGAAGCAAACCACAAAATACAACTGTTGAACCACAGTGGAAAGGTGGTGTGTTACGGGCACCGATCTCGTAAAGCAGCTCTGAGTGTTCCATGTACCGGAATCCACGCACGGAGCAGGCGAAACACACGAAACCAAGCCCTCCGATGGTGTCAGGCATCTACAAACAGCATGAAGCTGCTGGGCAGTTGGGATGCTTCAAGGAAGCCAAGGAGGCTGCCCCATGAGCACAGCGCTGTCCCCACTGCTGGCCAGCGGCAGGCCTACATCATGCTGAGGCCATTCCTGCACTATCCTGGTTGGTGTTCACAGGATGCCTAGAATCTGTGACTTCATGGTCTTTGTCAACTTTGAAAAACTCCCAGCTGCCACCTCTTACACGTCCCTTGTGCCCCAGTCCCATGGGTGAGGCTCCTTCGGGCCCATGTGGCTGTTATGCTCCTTCTGTGTTTTCCATCCTTTCCTCTCCCTCCTTCACTCTGGATACTTCCTTCAGCCTGCCTTGCAGTTACTAATTCTTTTATGCTGAATCTAATCTGCTGTCTGAACTCGTCTTTGAGTCCTTAATTTGTTATTATATTTCTCAGGTCTAGAATTTCCGTTTGATTATCCTAATAGATTCAAATTATCTGGTGAAAGTCTCCACTTTTCACCTTTTTTCTCCATCTTCTCCCTACTTCTTGGACATCTAGATCATAGCTATTTTAAGTCCCTTGTCTGGTAACATCAGCGTCTCCACCCCGTGGCCTCTTTCTGCTGCTCTTTTCCTCATGGTTTCGGTCGTATGGTCTGGTCTCTTGCTGTGTCTGACACACTCCTTTGAATGAACATGAAAATCGCAGGGTCTTGGCTAACGACATTTTCCTCCAGAGAGGGTCCCCCCTTGCCTCTGCTTGGCAGACAGAGAAGGGGCAGGCGACTGAACTGACCACAGGGTGGCTGCACGTCTGGCCGGCAGTTGTCCACCTGCACCTGAGCGCGTGGCCTGCGTGCTGCGCTGGAGGGTCAGGGTAGCCCTGCCTGCTTGGTCCCTCAGGACGCCACAAAGGCCGCCCTGCCATGTGGAAGAGGTCTGCCTGGTTGCCCTCCTCCTATCCCACAGTTCAGGGCTTGGCCAAGGTTTTGAGGGGGGACAAGCAGAGCTTTGCTCTGGTCTCTGACCCTCCTTTCTTACACAGCTGGCCGACCCTGGGCCCTCCACTTTCCCCCCCAGACCTGTGAGACCACTGGGGCTCTGCTGGTTTGCCTGCTCTCCAGGCTGCACTGCCCCTTCCCCTGGACCCTTGCTCAAGCCCCTGTCCAAACTGGCAGACACCTTGAGGGAAGGAGGGCAGCAGCATTCTGGCTCACCCAGCCTGTGGTTCACCTCCTCTGGGATTTGTCACAAGGGCTTTTCCTCAGCAGCTCTTAAAACTCCAAGTACACTTTAAACTTCAGTCCTCCTTGGCAGGAGGGTTGTCTGCCACAAGCTACTCCCTCACGCAGAGAATGGATAATCTACTGAGATCTCTCTGAAGCCTACTTCTGTTCTGCAGTGTCTCCGCCACGTCCTCCTACTAGTCTCATGTGGATATTCGTTAAGGATGTTTTCAACTTAACACAAAATGTGGATAAACAAGCAAAAGAGGAAAAGGGTCAATCTTGGTTAAAATGGACCCGTTAATCATGGTGTTTTCGCATCACTGTTTAAGTCCATCCCTTACCCCTCCAGTTATCACATAGGCAGTATTTCTCCATCTTGGTCATGCTGGAGGTTCGATGCACTAAGCCCACCACATCCCCTGAATCTCCCAGGGACGGATCAGAACGGTGGCAATTATCCCAGCACTTCTGTTCTTGGCACCGAGCCAGCACCTGCTTCTTCCTGACCCTCGGGGCTGCTGTCTGTTAGGCTCCACACAAAGGTGAGGGATTATCACCCGTCAGAATAAATCCCAGGATAAACCTCAGCTCCTATATCAGTACAAATAGTGGTCCAACATGCTTACTGAAAAATCTCAAATCACTAAGCCACACATTGGGGAAGCAAATCAACGTGTGTCCGAGAGAGAGAGAGAGCTGCGCTTCCTTCACTTCTCTACTAGCCGATGAAAATGAGCAAGAATTCATCGAAGTCTCCAACCTGGATTTATCTTTTCTTTAGACAGAGAGTTGAGAATAGCACCATATTCTGAAGTTGGATCTTAGAGAAATGAGGATAAGCCCACCCTCGTTTGGACCCACGCCTCTAATGGGCTGGCTGTTTCCCCTGGTGAGCCCAGAGCAGGGGCCAGCCCAGATCTTTGGTGGGATGAATTTAAATATTTGGATTTTTGCCTCAAAACTAACGACTTATTTTGAATACTGAATATTTTTAATGTTTTGTATTTTAAACATTTAAATATTTTACATTTGCTTAATTTTCCAAAGAAGTAGATGCCATTATTCAAAAGAACAACAGGAAAAAACATACCATCATAAAAATAAATTTCTTGTGTTGACTTCAGAAAGTTCAGGATACCATCTGCCTTTTCATTGGTACTTTTAACGTCTTCCTTCCCGGCGTCTGTGGCTCCTTCCTCCTCGGCATCTGGGCCCCCTCCCTCCCCGTCTGCGCCGTCCTCTCCATCACTCACTCTCATGTCGCCCTGCTCACCGCTGGTTTCCTCAGGCTGGTACATGAAGTTGATGCCAGAGACTCCTGTTAGTAAGCCAGCTGCTTTCTTCCTTTTAATTTGCTGTTTCTTTTTCAGTTTCCTTTTTTTATTTTTGCTTATTGTGGGGCCATCTGTGTGGCTGTGGCTGTGTGGCTGCAATTTTTCTTGCAAAATACTCTGCTGTTTCTCTAATTCTGCTTGCTCTACAGGGATGTTACTGGGATTTTTAAATTTTTTCTTTGAATTATGCTTTCTAATTCTTCTTCTCTTTGGTTGAGCCTGAAGATCCTGATCTATAAAAACAAAAATTCAAATACAACAATTTTCTGTAAAATGGAACCATAACAAACTTACTAGGCTAGATAAATTTTCCATTAGGATCTTGTAATTTTAGTAGAAAAGGAATTTAAAATATTTACTTCAGTGATTCTTAACTTTATACCAACAAAGTACACTGTTGAGGATACTGGGATTTACCATGAAGTAAATTAATAACCTACTTGTTCTTCCAAAAAAGGTGTATGTACGTGTACACGTATGTGTGTGTATGTGTATTTATTCAACACTGTTACAATCATGACATATGGTATGATTTTAAGGATGTAAGAGTTGTTGCAGTTTGATCGAGAGTAAAATTTCATGCCTGTGGTCTTGGGGAGAGAAACATGAATTCTCATGTTTTTTAAAGTGTCCTTTAGCACCTTCTAAAGAGTTACTTGTGTGTGAGGATGAGAAGCAAGCAGTGACGATCTGCCCATCCAAATCAGCAATGGGTCCCATATGAATGAAGATGAAGTCTGGGCTCTCGGCAGGTAAGTGACATGGTCGAGATGTGGCAGTCACTGCCACGCAACAGACAAGGTCTGGAGTGGACGTGGGGGGTAAGGCCTGCGGTGGATGTGGGGCCTGAGAGGGACGACCCGCATGCCAATCCTGCCCCGTCCACCCCATCCCCGCACCCTCGTGGCAGTGCATGCCCGTCACATGCTCAGCACGTGCCCGGCGCACGCCCAGCACACCTGCTGCTGCCCACATGCGCCCACCTGCTCCGTCCCAGCCAACCAAGGACGGCGGTGCTGCCATCAACGCTCAGACGCTTCTTCTCAACAACCCTCACTTCTCACAGGTTCTCCTTAGGCCCACCACAGGTTATGGTGAGAAATCAAACACCATGCGTGAGACTTCTGAGACACTGTGCGTCACTATGTGGAATGAAGATCCCTCTCCCTGTAATTTGCACTCTAAGGCTTTGATCTGCCACTGACGTCAGACAGAAGATGCCGCGTGGTCCTTGCGCTGTGTTTCCTGTGATGAGGGGCCTGAGACTCGGAACCCGCTGGTCACACCCTCTGATCCGTGGAGGTGGCTTCTTCTCTTGTTCTGGGCTCTGAGTCTATTTATGCAGCCAAACTCCCACCTGCGCATTTAAACAAGCGTCCACCCGCCCCCCCGGCCTGTGTGACACGGAAGGCCCCCTCCCCTGCAGCTTCGTGTCATCATCAAACCAGACACTGCCTCTGGATACGGGGAGCGTCCTCCCCTGACTCTGGAATGAGAGTCCTCAGTTTTCTCTTGATACACGTGACAACCAGGAGACCTGGTGCTGCCTGCAACTTGGCATGAAGCCCAAATTACTCCTCATAAAATCACAACGTGACACTGTCATACAGTCCCATACTTGGTACATTTTCTCTCTCTTCTCAATCACCAGTGGATGATTGAACAAAGCATTTTCCTATTTCATTTGAAAGTTGATATTAACTGATTTTAGAGACCTGCTTAGTGTCGCTGACAGACACCTGATTCATGAGTATCTCTGAATAGCTGGCCCTTGAGCTGGTCTTGTAAAATATTAATGCTTGAAAAATGACCACTGCTTATGGAATTTAAAAAATTTTCCAGATTCAGTTTAAAAAAAGAAAAAATTACATTTCTCCTCATTGGGGTCTATTCTTGCCTTTATTGATTTGGAAAAAAAGTCATCCATAGGATGCTTTATCAAGTCACAGTAAAGCCATCTGGGGACCAGCGTGCAGTCATCTGGGGGCATCCTTACTGTCCACCAAGAGTGGCATCCGGAGAGCTGCTCTCATTTATTCCCCGATATCTCTGTTCTCCAGGCCCTTCCAGCCGAGCCAATTACTGACGTCATCCTCCGGTTCATTTCTCTTTGCAAGCGGTGAGAGCACAGCACGGATGCTGCCCCGTGAGGGTGATTATGCTATCAGCCTGCTGCTCTAAAAGACTATAAAACAGGAATTTGAGAAGGAGGAGGTGGCAAAAAAGGGTGTAAAACATAAGAGTATCATACTTTTTCATATAAGTGTGTGTGCACACTTCTTAAGAGGAAAACTTAATACACACTGAGATACTGAAGGTCCAGATGCCAGACCTGTGGGGTTAACTGTGGTTTCTGGGTGCTGTGACTGTAGGTTTTTTTTTTTTCATTGTATTTTTCTGATTTCCAACTGTAGGACATTGAGCAGATACTGCTTTCATAGTAAGGAAAAATTATTATTTTAAACTTGATGAAATTATGACAGCTCAAAACACGGGATGTCACTAAATTCTACTTAAAGGTGAATTTATAATCTTAAATATGTCAGGAAAGAAAAAAGGCTAAAAATCAATCATATAAGTAAGAAAGAAGCTGGAAAAACAACAGCAACTTATACCTGAGGAAAGCAGAAGGAAAGAAATAACAATCAGAGGAGCACAAAATAAAGGAAGAGAAAAGAAAACCCAACAGAGAGACAGCAACCAGCACTGACACTGTGAAGAAAGAAAACAGACGAACAGTGCAAGACTGGACGGGACGAGCAGAGGACACCTGAAGGCCAGCGTGGGGTGAAGGCGTGTGTTAACATACATCCTGCAGGCGCGAAAGGACCAATAAGATGGCTCTGTGAACAACTCTATGCAAATAAATTACTAGTTTGTATGAAACGGAGGATTCTGAGAAAAGTACAACACACCAAACTGGACACATGAAGAAACGGAAAATCTTAATGGTCCTATAGCTATTACAAAATTGAATCTTTAGTTAAAAATAATCCCACAAAAGAACTTCAGGCCTAGGTGGATTCACCTGACTTCTAAGGAACATTTAAGGAAGAAACAAACGCCCAACATACAAAACACTTCTGGAGAACAGACACAGTGACGGTGACCACACGCTTTGTGAGGACAACACAGTTCTTTCAAAACCTGATGAGGACACTGGAAGACGGGAAGGTTGCAGGCCAACCCCTCTCCTAAACCGCAATACAAAACTTCTAAACAAAATATTAACCGTTTTATTGTAGTGATATAAAGTATTCAATCAATATTAACACCAACAAATCATGAAAACGTGTAGCAAACTAGAAATGTAAGGGAAATGCGAAATGCGATAGAAGGTGAGAAAATCCCGCAGGGACACTGCACGTGGAGCCCTCACCCTGCTGCTTCCCTGCCGGAGGCCCTGGCGATGCAACAAGAGGAGGGAAAGTGTCAGACCTCACGGGGACGCCAGCTACAGACGGCACCACTGTAAGTCCAAAAGGCCCCCAGGCCCTACAGACAGGCTGCATGGGAGCCTGCAGACACAGAAGCAGGACGCGAGTGCGGCAAGGAGGACGCTCACCCGCGTGGCAACCGGGGTCGCAAGGTAACGCTGGCGAGCGCCAACCTTGGCAGAGAGCACCAACCCCAAGGACCCCACCGGACACTGGAACTGCAGCCCCAGAGCAGCAGGGAGCCTCGCTGTCCCTGGGCCTCCCCGTAACGAGGGCTCCGCAGAGGCCGAAGCAGGGGCGCCCATGCTGCCCTGGGGTCAGCAGACGTGGCACCCGAGTCTCCACCTCAGCTCATGCCCCTGCATCACTCCCAGGGCTCACGGTCCCGGAGGTGGGGGAGTCCTTCTGCTTCTGGACAGCACAGCACTGTCCGGGACGCTCACCACGGGCTCGTGCAGGAGGCAATGGCTGGGAACATCCGGCTCCCGGGGCCAGAGGTCACATGGCCACCCTGCTCTTTCCGCGTCTTGTTCATGGTAACTGACAGGACTAATTACTTGATCTGAAGAAATACTCATCACTCAATGTCCTTTTGACGCTACGTATTTGTTGCTTGAGTCTCTCGTTTTCTCACCGATGAGGGACAGTGCTTACTGCAGGAGGACTTCACCACCCTAATTGTGTGCTACCCGACATGGGCTCACATCTACCTCGGCCGCCAGTGCTTAGAGGCCTTTTCCCCAAAGGAGACATCTTCAGGTCTGTTTCCTAAGTACAACATCTTGATGCGACTTAGCGTGGAGAATATCCAGTTAACTCACACAGACACGGTTCAATATTTCTTTTGAAAAACAGTAATGCATGTTAATACCTAGATATGATATGTAGGCATTACAATCGATACAAAGATCTGTTAATTTTCTTCTTTTAACATTTCCAGCATAACCTATAGATCACTGGGCAATGGCTACACATAATTGAACATAATTTTTTTTAACATCTTTATGGGAGTATAATTGCTTTACAATGTTGTGTTAGTTTCTGTTGTATAACAAAGTGAATCAGCTATACATATACATATATTCCCATATCTCTTCCCTCTTGCGTCTCCCTCCCACCCTCCCTATCCCACCCCTCTAGGTGGAAACAAAGCACCGAGCTGATCTCCCTGTGCTATGCAGCTGCTTCCCACTAGCTATCTATTTTACATTTGGTAGTGTATATATGTCCATGCTACTCTCTCACTTCGTCCCAGCTTCCCCTTCTCCCTCCCCATGTCCTCAAGTCCATTCTCTACGTCTGCGCCTTTATTCCTGTCCTGCCCCTAGGTTCATCAGAACCATTTTTTTTTTAGATTCCACATATATGTGTTAGCATACGGTATTTGTTTTTCTCTTTCTGACTTGCTTCACTCCGTATGACAGACTCTATGCCCATCCTCACTACAAATAACTCAATTTCATTTCTTTTTATGGCTGAGTAATAATCCATTGTATATATGTGCCACATCTTCTTTATTCATTAATCTGTCGATGGACACTTAGGTTGCTTCCATGTCCTGGCTATAGTATATAGAGCTGCAATGAACATTGTGGTACATGACTCTTTTTGAATTATGGTTTTCTCAGGGTATGCGCCCAGGAGTGGGATTGCTGGGTTGTATGTGTAGTTCTGTTTTTAGTTTTTTAAGGAACCTCCATACTGTTCTCCATAGTGGCTGTATCAATTTACATTCCCACCAACAGTGCAAGAGGGTTCCCTTTTCTCCACACCCTCTCCAGCGTTTATTTTTTGTAGATTTTTTAAAATGATGGCCATTCCGACTGGTGTGAGGTGATACCTCATTGTAGTTTTGATTTGCATTTCTCTAATGATTAGTGATGTTGAACATCCTTTCATGTGTTTGTTGGCAATCTGCATATTTTCTTTGGAGAAATGTCTATTTAGGTCTTCTGCCCATTTTTGGATTGGGTTGTTTGTTTTTCTGATATTGAGCTGCATGAGCTACTTGTATATTTTGGAGATTAATCCTTTGTCAGTTGCTTTTAAAAAGAACGTAGCTGTTTGGCTGGGTTACATGCAGAACTCCGAGTAATGTAACATAATTTATAAAGATATGGAAAAATGACAAATTTGACCCTTTATAACATTTTCTACCCCAAACATACCAGACCTTTTCATGATTCTTCATTCTCTGTCTAAAATTAAATCATTCCTCTTGTTTATGAGCCAACCTTTTCTTACCAGTTCAAATCTCAAGTGCTTTATAAGACTTCCCAAGGTTAGCTTCTCCATCCGCTGTGCTCCTATGGCACTTGGTCTCTATCGCTAATAACACTTAGTACTGAATGACAAAGTCTGTTACTGACTTTATTCCACTCCCTAACCTCTAAGCTCTACAGCAGTAAGGGTTGTGTTATCATCACGGTTGTTCCTCCAATGTCTGACACACAAGGTTCAAACAAATAGCTCGTTATATCAGATCCAGCCACGGTGCAGAAAGAGACGGTGCAATCAGGGGACAGAACCCATGTGCTCTGGAAGTCAAGAGCAAAAGCTGCTTATTTATCGTTTCCACAAATATGAATCAACTGTCCTTTGGAGACTGAAGTATGGCTACACGTGGTGCGTTTAAATCTGCTGATCATCAGAGTTACTCCTCGGTATTCATACAACCAGAAAGGACTCTCATAGTCAGGCTTTCTCTCTCCCAGTCAGATAGATTAGGGTGAACTTAGGTAGGAAGTCTGGGTCTCTTGACTTTTTACTAACAGGGAGTTCCTTGGGCTGTCAATGAGTTAATCCAAGTCTCACACGCAGCCAATGGCTTCTATGGCCCAGGACAAAGCAGGGAGCAGGGTGTAAGGTCACCTTCACAAGGTCAGCCTCTGGACACAGAGGAGATCCATCACTCTGGCTCTACCATGACCAATTGCTACTTCACACCGGATGCTTTTGTTGCAAGTAGTCTCCTGTTTGGCTCTGATTACCTTGAGATTAAGAATCTGACTGGCTGTGAAAATGCAATGGAATTTACATTCAGAATTCGCAAGATTCTTATGCTACCTCATTATTTTAGGATACAGATGGTATCAAATCCTAAAAGTCACTGCCAAGACTGATGTCAAGGAGCTTACCACTTATGTTTTCTTCTAGGAGTTTTATGGTTTCAGTTCTTACATTCAGGTCTTAAATTTATTTTGAGTTAGTTTTTGTGTATGGTGCGAGACAGTGTTCTAGTTTCATTCTTTGGCATGTGGCTGTCCAGTTTTCCCAACACCATTTATTGAAGAAACTGTCCTTTCCCCATTGTACAGTCTTGGCTCCTTTGTCGTAAATTAATTGACCATATATGTGTGGGTTTATTTCTGGGCTCTCTATTCTGTTCCATTGGTCTATGTGTTATGTTTTTATGCCAATATCACACTGTTCTGATTACTGCAGCTTTGTAATATAGTTTGAGGTCAGAAAGCATGTTATCTCTAGCTTTGCTCTTCTTTCTCAAGATTGCTTTGGCTATTCAGGGTCTTTTGTGGTTCCATACAAATTTTAAGATTATTTGTTCCATTTCTGTGAGAAATTCCCTTGGAATTTTGATAGGGATTGCACTGAATCTGTAGATTGCTTTGGGTAGTATGGACATTTTAACAATAGTAATTCTTCCAATCTACGAGCATGAAATATCTTTCCATTTATTTACATTTGTCATTGTCAATTTCCTTCATCAATGTCTTATAGTTTTCATGTA